GCTGCAGCTTCATCTACATAAATCGAAGTCCTTTAACGAGCACTTCTTCAGATTTGTGTTCTGCGTCTGTAGTACAGCAACGAGCAGAAATAGGAAGAGTCCTTCCTCCTGTGTATAAAATCAGCTGCCTCCTGGGAACAGTGTCTCTCTGCCCTGGACCGTGTCAGAGGATCTGAGAAAGCGTGAATGCAGCCAGAGCTTGGTTGAAAACCTAGCAGAATTTGGGATACCGGGTAGGACAGAGGTCTTGAACAAAAGTGCAATGTGAAAGCATGGCTACTGCATTTTACATACATCTGCTACCTTGGGAATCCAGCTGGCTCCTGGGGTCACTTGAGGAGGGCACGGGTGGCACGGAGATCCTGTAAATACATGCTGGGCAATCTTTGGACAGCCTTGCACTGGTCCTGAGCCAACACTGTCCAGTTTGGCCAATGTGACAGCAAAGGCCATCGAGGCCTGGTGCCCAGGGCTGTTGTTCCCTGGCACTGTTTTAAGTGACTAGTATGGATGCAGCTGTAGTGCTGAGGCTGCATTTGATTATAGGCAAGGGCTGGGTTGCCAGACTGCTCAGACTGGGGACACTGCAGAGAGCAAGTCCAGCGGAGAGGGCCCTAGTGAGTAACCACTAGGTTTAGGTGGATGCTGAATATATTTTGTTGAACTTTTGAGCCACGTGTTAGTTTTTTGACTCGTTCCTTTTGGTCTTGTGTTCACCAAGCAGCTTGTACAAAAAGCAAGGAGCAGTTTGCAGTTTGCTCCCCAGGGAGACTGTTTCCATTGGATTTGCTTTTTGGGGTGCAATTGCTCTGCAGGCTGATGTGGTATGTTCCTGATGTATTCCTATGCTATCCTTTTCAGATAAAATCCAATAGACGTATTTCTACATACGTTGTTACAGAAAAGAGGTTCTATAGATAGTATTTTAAGTACCAGCAATACAGTTTGCAAAAGCAACATGATTTGGCTAAAGAAAAAACAATTCCAAACAAAATTTTCAGCTCAGTAAATATTTTTCTGTGGAATTGCTCTGATTTTGGAAAACAGCATAATCTAAGTTTATTCATAAGTATAGTACCCTTAAATCCAGCTAAAATAAGAAACTGTTAATAAAAATCTGAACTGATTACAACTGGGTAAAATGTTAGTGTTTCTTCAGTATCCAGTAATGGAAGAAATTTAGAAAAAGAACATACAGCGCATAGCAGAAAATTATGCAAGAGTAGCAATAAGTAGCATACTAAAGCAACAACAACCAACGGCAAAATAGCAGAATGTCAAGTGATACAACAAGCATTCCTGATTAACTGGGCAGGTTGCTAACTAGATTGTTAATTAGTGCAACCTCACATTTAGGCACCCATTCATGTAAGATTTTTCACAGCATTCTGCACTGCATAATCCTACTGAAGCTGTGAAAAGCAACAGGTGTTGAGTTTGGGTATGGTTGGCATATTAGTTAGACCTGAGGAAAAAAAAACAAACTTCAACAAACCACAGCTGTTAAGTGTCTCAGTCCAAATAAGCTCCACTAATAGGGCCGAAGCTGTGTGCATGGATAATCTATCATCATCATCAGCCAATTCAAAATCCAAATGGCAGAAGAAACTGGTTATTGTAAGTCTTCATGGTCGTCTTTTAAAAAAAACTGAAGAAGCCCATTGGTATTTTCTTTGGGCACTGGCTGGCAAAGGCTGGCTAACATTTTGGTAGCCATGCTGTTATACATCATGGTATCCATGCTGAAATATATGGATATCTGAGATGCTCAGCAGTCAGTGGCTATCATTAGAACAGGCTTCAGTCTCTTACATGGCCGGTAGCAAGAATCTTGCTGTGAACATTTGTGGCAGTATGGAAAGGAGCAGAAAAAGGGATGGGATAGAAAAGATTTATTTTTTTTTAAATTTAATTTAAGCTGCCAGTAGTAAGATTTACTTATATATAGCATCCCAACTTAAGCACTGAATAAAAACTCTCCCAAGTATTGAGGGCAGAAGGAAGGTATGTTTGGCCTGATTTTAAATGCTATGGGATAAACAGCGTAGAACACAAAATACAGGAATTGTAAGTCTTCTCAGTGGTTGGTGAGTCATAAAACCTCTGCTGGTGTCACCCACAGAGTTAGGAATCTTGCACAAAAAATGACCATTTAAACAGAGAAGATTTTAAAAATGGGATAAAAATGAAAGAAAGAGAAAGGAACAAGGAAGCAGAAACACAAAGGGCAGAACGCCATGGTTAGAGGATCAAGGAAAAGAGGAATAATTATAGGGAACGGGAAATAGTTGAGAAAGCAAGTAGAAGAGTAGAGAGAAGGTCTCAGGCGGTGAAAGGAGGCAATGACAACAAAAAGATAAGGACGTCTTTGGATCAGTACAGGAGAAGAAACTGGGCTTACCTGTGTGAGCTGGAAGGTGTGTGACAGCATCGTCTAGGGCAGGAGATCGTGAAAGAAGCTGGGATGCAGGAGAAGGGAAGGGAGCTCGGCAGAGTGTCCCTTCTGCCAGCAAGAAAAGAGGATGGGAGCCCCGGATCCTGTGCCTGTGTTTTGTGTACATTTTCCACCTGAAGTGCACCCACAGGCAAATGAAGGAGCGGGCAGCTTTTCCTGCTAAGAACTTGAAAATCAGGAATCAGGCCAAAAAAGAATTAAAGCAGGAAAAAAGCCGCTGCTGATTTTTCTTTTCTTTGCCTGTCTCATGATGCTTGAGCTGTAGGATTTGGCAATATTAACTGAAGTAATGCAAATCGTATAATGTTTCTTAAAACCCTTGGTATCCATCTAATTCACATTTCATTCATGTTCATGTTGACATTTTGCATGCTTTCTTTCTGCCTAGCAGTGTACATTTTAAGTTTAAGCAGTGTTTATGTGTCTGTGTGTTAAGAAAGAAAATAAACATGGTTTCCCATATTCTTTTAAACAAGGCCCAAAATATAAAAAGCCTTGAGCAAGAAACTCTATATATTTGATAACAGCTTAATCCTTTTTTTCAAAGTGCTTTAGAAGGAGGCAAATAGAGATAATTTAACAAATTCTACGTATGTTCAGGAGCCAGCTAGCTAGAATGAAACACGGAGAAGAAATACTTTGTGAGATCATTGCAATTTTGCTCCACCCAGGCAAAGAAGGGGACCTGGGGCTACCACGCTGCTGCTCTGTGCAGGCCTAGGGCATGTTGCAGTGGCGCTCTGCAGTACCGAGGCTAACCTGGGTGGCATGGAGATCTCTTCCAGCTGGCTAGGATGATGGAAACTGCTTAGGGCGGCCCTTCGGCTGCGTTACTACCTTGTTCCTTAGCCAGGCTAAGTAGCCAAGGTGGAAGGCTTGGAGGGCTACGCTGCTGTCCTGGGTGAATGGTGTCGGATAAATAAGCTAATTCTTTCAGAACTGGCTTGGCTGTCTCAGCCTGGTGTGTCCCCTGATGCATGAGGGCTTAATTCTGGCAAAAGCCATAGACCTGACACAAAACCATGCCAACAAACTTGCTGTCGACGTGGGAGCTGGGGGACAGCAAGTGGTGAAAGTGGAGACAATAATGTAGACCATTCAATTCGAGAACTTGTCCCCAGTTTTTATTAAGTTTCAGAATAGAATCTAAACTATTATTTAAATTAAATTGTAATCAGTATCCCCATTTGCCCCCTTTTTATTAGCGTAAACATGGTATATTTAAAATATCCATTTTGGATGCTAATACTTTTTAAACTCAAGGTGTTTTCTCCTTTTGTGTTTAACCACAAGTAGAGGCAAAGACGAGAAATAGTCCTAATCCAGGAGAGTACTAAAAATGTAATTAGTTTAACTTTAGCAGTTTGGGTTTATATCCAGGATTGATGGAGACGTGCCACAAATTGTCCTCTGTTCGTGCATTCCTTTCATACATTAAAAATGGGGATAAAATATTTTCCTGTCTCACAAGATGAATCCATTACTATTCCTGGGAATCTGAGATATCGTTGTGATGAACGCCATGAGAAACTAATAATTCTGGGCACAGCATAGGCTTGGGAAGATTTGCACTAAGTAAAGGAGTGGCCAGAAACCAAAGGAGCAGGGCTAAACAACTGCCTTTTCTGTTAACGCTCATCCAGCCCATGCGCTAAATGAGGCGGGGATCCTGTGGAAAAAAATACCGAGCCATCATGTAATTACAGACTGTGCTCACAGTTAAAGACTCATCCCCACAAGGAGCCAGAACTGAGGCTGTGCAAACACACTCTGGCTTCTTACACCTCCTAGCATTTGAGCGCTTCTCTCCGTAGTGAAGCTGCGTGCAAAAGCCTTTCCATGTAGGATGGTCTGGGGCTGCTGTGCAGAAGGCACGAGGGTACCCTTTTACGGGCCCATTCGTTTCCTCAGAAGTTCTCTTACTTGGCATAAAATACACACACAGGCGCACACATCGTACGCACACACAACGCGCGCTTACACCTGTACCTGCCATGAAGTAATGTAGTGGCAAGGGGTAACTTAATTCACACAGTGAGTCTAGGTTCCTCCGCTGAATTTCCTTCCCCTTGGTGCAGCGCTGATCTTCCCAGCCGAGGTGGGTTATGCAAGGAGATCGCGCACAGAGGAGGGTTTTGTTACCACCCTGGGAGGAGTAGCCAAGGGTTCTGCAATTATGTGGATCGAGAATATAAACCTCTCTCCTGAATTAGAGAAGTCTTTTTTGCCCTCCCGGTTTCTGTTTTGCTTAGCCTGATTACTGGGACAGCGTATGGGTACAACACAGATGGAAACCAGCTCTGTTTACCTTAACTGGGGTGTTCATGCTGAAGTCTAATTTTATTTTGATGTTTTCACTGCTGAATGTTTTAGCAGGCACAGGCAAATACTCCAGGCTTATAGACTGCGTTTGGAGGGGGAAAAATATCAGATCGTGTACTCACATTTCTTGTCAGAAAGCACACTTTTATTCAGAAGGAAGAAAAAAAATGCATCCAGCAAACAACATTGGTAATACAATGAAAAGAAAAAATATACAATACCAATAATTTTTCAGTGTGTAGTACCTTATAAATACCTTTCAACACCCTGTAACAATCACATTATATTTGATCTGTGCAAACAATGCACAGATTTTTAGCTTGAAGTATCTTATGGTTATTACTTTTGATGATTTGCTGTATCATAAGACCAATTCAGTCAGTATAATCAGTAAGGAAATACAGTACATACAACACATCAAGGCTAAGAACATGGAAAAGCTATTTAAAATATATATGACTGAAAAATTCACGAAGAATAAAATTAACTTATTTTTCAGGGGGATGAAAGAGGTTTGTGTTCTACTGGGCATATATGTTAGACTTTAACACAAACTCTTTTTGAGATAATTAACTGTGTAAATCATGAAACTACTTATCCTATTGTTAACTGGCAAGTGGTTGCGTATTTCTAAATATCTGCGTTCTTTGGCATATCGCTAACTTGATGCAAATACCCTCTTGAATGCCCCTGAAAAGTAAGTAAACCACCAGCAGCAACATAGCCAAATAGTCAGACAAATTCATTGTACTTAGTATACAAGCTCATGTTTTAAATTTGGGTGCTGGTGCTGATGTTTACACATAAAATTGGTATCTGTATGCCTGGATGCTGGTTGAATAGCAAAGATAGAACAGGAAACTCAAGTTTGCATATAGCTTTTCAGTGTATCATCAGTGATTTTAAATACAGTATAAAATAGCTTATAGGCTATTACCTCTACAATTAATTTCATGTTTTATATCCCCATAGCATTATACCTCCTTAGAGAGTTACCGTATTCTGAACCATCAGTAAAAGGCGCTTGTGTGAGGTGAAATCTCAGCTCCACTGAAGGCAAGACCAAAACTCACTGACTTCAATTGAGCTAAAATTTTTTCATGCTCATAAGCTAAGCTTGCTAGCTTGCTACATTGCACTGGTTTGCACAGTGTGCCTTACGTCCCTTGAGGATTATAGGAAACTTGATTACCAAGAGGAATCGCTTGCACGGATCCAGCCATGTTGGTCGTTGCAGGTTTTTGATTGTCTTGCACTACAGCAAAAGCATCACACATTAAAAATATATGTTCCGTATTCTGCACATGCTTACCCTCTTTACTGGGAGTTCACTGTAAATGTCTGTTGATTTCCAGTGAGTTCTGATAGGTAAGTGCAAAGTGATATTTATTATTATGATTCGTCCGCTTATTTTGCTTTGATTTGCTACTTGCTCATTCAGATAACAGCATCACCAATGATCTTTAGGAATAAATGTTGTTTCTACGATGGGTAAGCATGGAAATGTTTAATTTCACTACTCCCATTTAGTGAAGTCTAGTGTAAAATATAGTACTTATAAGGAAAAGATACTAGGACAATGGTGTAATAAATATACATATGTATTTCATCTAGAAGTTATTTCCAACCAGTTTATTGTAAGTTGAGAGGTCCATTTTAATGCCTAAATTACTATCATGACAACAACAACACCTCTTCAAAACTAAACAGAAATTAAATCTTAACCTAAATATTCTGAATATATTTTGAGCAACACCGTACTATAATGTAAACTCTTCTATGGTTTATATCTCAGAGTGCTGTGTGTAACACATATAACATTGTTACTATGTCACTATTAATATTAGTCAAAAAGTACCTACAAAATGGTCAAACGAATTTTAGAAAATGGTATTCTATCATTAGTACAACGTAGAAAGAGAAACTTCAGCAATGGAGGTACATGGCTGTACATGTCAGTGTAGCTAACGCTATTGCAGTTGGAATGGGAGGTCAGCAATGTATTTTCTTCTCCGATGCCCACTTTTGATTTCCTGTTTTCACAACAGGATGTTATCACCAAAGGAAGCACTTCTTTTCAGGATACTGTCCTCCCCAGAGTGGCAGTCTCTGGTGTTTAATAGACCAGAGCCAGGGTGAAATCTGTTCCCAGGGTTTGTTGTCCTCTGTATCCTTTATAGACCTGAACTAGCCTCTCTGGGTATAGCTAACTGAAGAACTGTTTTTATACGGACTGTCACAAATGTGGAAAGGAAGTGGAAAATTGTAACCTTAACTTTAGCTCATACACCCTGAATTTCAATTGCTCAGATAAATGGCAATACGAATATCATACAAAGCAAGGGATGACAAAAGACTGAAATCCTAAAAAAGGTTAATTGTACATTTAGAAGAGTGTAGCCAATTAACTTGTAATCAGCTGTAAGTGACTTCTCTTGCTTTCACAGTTAGGAAGTCCGAAATAGATTTTGATCTTCAATGAAGCTCTTATTTGCATAGAAATCTGCATCAGTCATTATCATAGATGCAATCTGAAATGGAAATAAAATGCAAAGATATTAGTACTGTGTAGTACTTTGACTCAAGGATAAAGTTATTTGGTGTAATTGAATATAGTTATTGTATTGTTTGAACTGTTCCACATACCATCACCAATGTCATCGTAAATCTCTCCATCACTGTAAGTTAAAAACAGAAAAATAATGCATTAAAAATTGAGACATCATATGTATATTACTCTTTGCACGCAGATAACAAAAATAGTGTCGAGGCATGGCGCAGACATGCTATCTAGTAATTCATTTGCTAATTAAGAAAGCGCAACCTTTGTAGTCACAGCACAGTGTTCTGTTCTGCAAGATGGTCAGATCAAAGGATTTTCAGTGAAGGGTAGAGCTGGATACATTTCTTTCTAATGCAAAAGGCTTGCTTTATTAAAAGGTTGGGTTTTTTAATTAAGTTTTTAAGAAAGCTATTCTAAGAAAATCATAGAGATATTTCCATAAAAAATGAAATACGTACTGATCTTTTTAAATGAAAACCAGAAAAGATGAGCAAAAGAAAAAAATCAGTATGCCCTTGAAATTCTTGTTTGTTTCTGAACTTGCCAATGCCATAATGGTTTTGGAGGAGCATCTTTTTAGACAATGAATTTAGGTAATGTAATATAAATGATATATGTTCCATGAATAGGAATTTTCAAAGTGTGTCGCTTAGATAGATGAACAGGTCCATGGAAGCCAACAAGGCTATTTATATACATACAAGTTTACCATGTGTATAAGTGCTTGGAGGCCTCACATCGAAAAGTGACATCTGATTTAATATTTAAGGGTCTAGCATAAAGCCCACTGAAGGAAATGGAAAGGCTTTGTCTGACAAGAATTTTGGATTAGAACCTAAGTGCTGAACTCCACACAATTATTCGGAGCAACACTGTGCCAAATCTGCTCAATCCCAGTAAGACTGAAATAAAAATAAACCTAAAGAAAAATCAGTCTATTTTAGTTAAACATTTTGAAATGGCATCAATACATTTAATGACATTAATGTGCAGCTTGGGAATAGATTCTAGTACTAATGCTTAATTTATGTAATTTTTCATGGTTTAAACCAGAGTTTATGCTTAAGCAATGAGGAACGGGGCCCTGGAAAATTTCCAGTGTGGATGTATGTGACCAGTTCTTGAAAAATCTGAACTCCATAAAAATAACTCAATTTGCAGGACTAGAATTACATACTAAAATAATTACATTTCATTTTTATTTAATAAGGACTTTAGAAGAAAACTGAGTGTTATAGGAAATTTTTCAAGAAGATCACTTTGTACTTACTTTTGAACTAAGTTGCTTCTCAGAACATAGCCATCTGTAAAATTGAAATGCATATGTATTTAAGTTAAATATTCACATTATTTCTTCTGTTGCTAGCACTAGTGAAATGCAGTTTTCTTTTAGATATTTCAGACGGAAAGACATAATAGATGGATAACAAGGTACAATGGATATGTACTCGAGGAAAATTTTGCTATGTCCAATTTTGGTTTTAATTCTTAGCTGCTTGTTTAGTATAACATAGAATCATAGAATGCTTTGGGTTGGAAAGGACCCCTAGAGGTCATCTAGTCCAATCCCCCTGCAGTGAGCAGGGACACTGCTAACTAGATCAGGTTGCTCAGAGCCCCGTCCAACCTGGCCTTGAATGTTTCCAGGGATGGGGCCTCCACCACCTCTCTAGGCAACCCGTTCCAGTGTGTCACTACCCTCATTGCAAAGAATTTCTTCCTTATATCCAGTCTAATGGTGCCTTAAATAGCTTAAATAGCAAATCAGAATACTGCAGTAGCTCTAAGACCAGTTAGATGTCTACTGTGACAGGTACTTTACATGTTCATAAAATGTCATGTCTCTTGTTTCATTGCGATAGATTCCATTGCGTACAAAACTAGTGCTGAGAGGAGAAAATAGTAGTACAAGTTATGCAAGATTAGGTTTTCATCTTCTATGTTGGTTTCCTAGTTGCATGAGAGGAGTGTGAAACAATAGGTATTAACACAAAATATAGTATAGTTCACAAACTATTAGTATAATAATAACCACATAACAATATTTATCATATCAAATAACAGAAATATGTATATTTTCCTACAGGGCAAAAAAAATGTCTTCCAAGTTGTATACACCAGTTATTTATCATTAACTGTAATTGTTTAAAAATTTTTAACTGTATCATATTGATAAGAACTGTTTATATAGATAATGGAAATACCTTAGCAAAGCTACTCAGTAATGAGTTATTCTACTACTCTGTTGCATTGCTAATGAAATCAGATAAAACTACACATATTCTTCTTCAACGTATTTAGTCTCTTGAAAAAATTACTTGCTGTCTTTGGTAAAAGGTATCTACTGAAATACCTGTCAACTGGTATAACATACACAAGCAAAGAGAAAGCCATAACAATAATTACATATTTGCAAGTAAACATTAGTATGTTGGTACAAAATTAGGACAGTTCTAAAGGAGAAATGTGATCCTGTGTTATATTTGAAATTACTGTATAAGTTTCCTTCCTTTTTTCATTAGGAGGCTTAAATGGCCACAGGTTTTTAGTAATTTGTACACAATTCATATGTTTTAGAATTAATTCATTAGCTTGATTTGTAAAGTTCCTTGAATTCTTGAATCTGCTACTAATCCATGTACTTAGAGGAACCATATACAGTACATCAAGTATCAGTGTTCTGCTAGTATTTCTGGTGGCGATCATTCAGGCCAGTCTAGCTGAATCCCCAGATCTTACTGTTTTATCTTAAGGAATCATTTCCTCCTTTACGTGATTTTTTCTTTTCTGATACACAAGACATGAAAGTATCTTGTCTTTTTTTAAATGCACAGTAATGTCCAGATAAATAATCTCATATTTTGTGTTGGGTTTTTTTACATCCAAAACCTAATTTTATTCTAATTGAAATTGTCCTTTTCAAGATCTGTAACTTTACTAATAGGGGAAACCTTCCTTTGTAAATTGGCATCAGACACAATGTCTTTGGGAACACAGTACTGTTCCCCAAAGCTGCTGAATTATCACAGGCTTCAACTGGCCAATGTTTTGATATACGAAAATGTCCTGTGATTCCTATGTGGAATATTGGAAGAGTTATTTAACAAGACTAATATCTCAGATAGTCCTGCAAATGGTAATAAGTAACTAATTCTTATAAACAGCTTTTCTTCAAAAAGAAACATTTGCATAATTCATCTTAATTTGGTGTATTTTCATCTTAAAATGGGTAGGTATCAGATATTGCTATAAATCTCAAATGTAAATAAGTTTCTTTCTAGAATATGCTATATTAATCACTATATATAAAGTAGATTAGTGATTTGCTCTGTGGAGGCCATAATACATTAAAAACACTGCATTTTTAAAGACAATTTCTGTCTTGTGCTAGAGCTGAAGGTTGCCTAAAAAAGGCATTAATTTCATGTGATAATATTTTATTTGACACTAATCTCCTTTAGCTTCTGTTTAAGACTTAACAGTTACATGAATGAAAAAAAGAGTTCTATGCATTTAATATTTGATTACAGCTATGTAAGATAAAATTTGCTTCATTTGCCTGTATTTATATCTTCAGGGTCATGAAGATTTGATACATAATTCTACTACAACTTTTGCCTAGTTAAACTAATCTTCAATAGTCAAAAACCCAGTGCTGCAGATTTTCAGTGACCTGCATCTTCCCTCAAGCTGATAGCAAGTCGTTACAAATAGGGAAAGCTCTGTCTATTCAGGATGTTCTTAGCCTGGTTGTCTTTCCTTGGATTTTATTACCTGGGATAAAGGCGTGGAAATTGATTTTTTTTGAGAGATGTCATCCATTTAAAATTCTCTTTAAGCAGAGTCCAGTAATTTCCAGGACTTCTGAAGTCTCACCAAGGATAATTTAAAATCATTTGGCTAATCTAATCTTCTCTGTTTTTTCTTTTATTTTTTTCACGTGAAATACTTGAAAGCAAAAATTTCTTTGCTTACAGTCATGGTGTACAAACACAGTGTGCTTGCAAGCCAGGTGCGCATGTGCCAGTCCTTCTACAACTGCAAAGCATAATCTAGGTTCTTCTGATGGTCCTTAGCCCCTAAATATGTGGGAAATACAGCCCCTGCTGATCTCGCACTGTTTCAAACTTACTAATCCAAAATTAAATGTCCAAAGTTTTAATTTCTAACTAATTTATTTATCTTTACGTGGCTTCCACAATAGGGACCAAGGCAGCAGGTCAGCACACTCCATCATGATTACTTAGCACCACTGAAAGCTATGACACATCAGGCCAGCTGTTCTGACAGTGTAAAGGAAGCTTGGTGAGGACACAACTTACATTTTCAGGCACTGAAATCCATGTATATCCTAATGTCTAAGCAAAATCTATGAAAGTGAATTGAAGGTTTTTGGGTATTTCAAAAGGTACGTGGGTCAGAGCAAGGCAACAGTAAGAAGGCATTTCAGAAGGTAAATGAGTCATAGAATCATTTGGTTGGAAAAGATCTTTAAGATCATCAAGTCCATCTGTACCTGTTCACCACTAAACCATGTCTCTAAGCACTTTATCTGTCTTTTAAATACCTCTAGGGATGGTGATTTGACCACTTCCCTGGGCAGCCCATTCCAGTGTTTAATAACCCTTTCAGTGAAAAATTTTTTCCTAATGTCCAATCTAAACCTCCCCTGGTGCAACTTGAGGCTGTTTCCTCTTGTCCTGTCGTTTGTAACTTGGGAGAAGAGACCAACCCCCACCTCACTACAGCCTCCTTTCAGGTAGTTGTAGAAGGTGATAAGGTCTCCCCTCAGCCTCCTCTTCTCCAGACAAAACAACCCCAGTTCCCTCAGCCACTCCTCAGAAGACTTGTGCTCCAGACCCCTCACCAGCTTTGTTGTTCTCCTCTGGACACGCTCCAGCACCTCAGTGCCTTTCCTGTTGTGAAGGGCCCAAAACAACACAGTATTCGAGGTGCAGTCTCACCCGTGCTGAGTACAGGGCCACGATCACTTCCCTGCTCCTGCTGGCCACACTATTCCTGATACAAGCCAAGATGCTGTTGGCCACCTGGGCACACTGCTGGCTCATGTTTAGTCGGCTGTCAACCAGCACCCCCAGACGCCTCTCTGCCAAGCAGCTTTCCAGCCACCCTTCCCCAAGCCTGTAGCGTAAGACTCATCAATTCCTTGTTTCACTTTTGAAATTTCAAATAATTTCATAACAACTAAAATAAGCAGAATACATTCCTAAGATCATCAACCCTTACTTAGAAAGGTGGGAAGATGTTATAGTATAATTTGTAATTTTGTTTAACTGCCAGTAATAGCGTGAAGCTATGGAAGTGCTTCAGAAGTGAATAATCAAATGGAAGAATTCATGTGCAAGAAAGTAACAAAAACATCTTTAGTTGTTGATTTTTAGTCTGTCTGGCCTTCAAGATGTAAAAACATAGCCTTGAGATAGGAGGAACTAGAGCAACTAGAGCAAATAACCATAACTGTCACGCACTTAACAAAAGTAGGATTCAAACTTCACTAATTAATGTGGAAATTGACAGAGATCTATTCAGAGTTTTCAGGGAGGATATTTTTATTTGTTTTGCTCTTTTATGCATAGCAAAGCAGTAGCTTCTGTCACTATTTGAAAGGCTTTGAAGACTATGTAAGTAAAACAGCCAACATGAACTACTTTCTACTTTGTTGTTAGCTTGATTCAAAAAATGCAGCACTGAAAGCTGCTCTTTGGGAAGTGGCTACACAAGTGCAATCCATATTTTGAAAAACATGTGTGTTGTTATGCAAGAAATTCTTCCTCACCCTGCAGGCCTGCCAGGAAGAAGGCTATAGTCCAGGCTGTAACAGTTGAGTACAGAGGGGAAAAAAACGTAAGTGACTGCATCTCCTTCAGAGGTTTATGGCTTTGGACTGTCTTCTACATAGGTCAGAGGTAAAAAGTAAAGGTGAGAGGAAGGATTCTGCTGCTTTGAACATAGTCTGTTCCTACACAAAGTGAGTTTTCTCTAGGAGATTTCAAATGTATTGTAACAGAAACACATTAAGAAATTGAAACCAACTGTAGATGGTCCAGATTTCTCCAAAAATGCAAAAACTTCTGCCAATGCACTCCCTGGCCAAGGGTTTCAAAGAAACACAGAACGGCCTCGCTCAGCTCCCAAAACAAGCAGGCATGCCAATGAGGACATATGCCTTGGATCATCTGGGGGCTGGGAGAAAGACTGCTAAGCAGTCGTTCCCCCCGTCCCCCTCCCCCATCCTGTTGCAAGGATTGAGCTCCATCTCTGGCAATCCAAAATAAGAATATTGTTACTGATTTTCCCTTGGCTGCAGTCAATGGTCAAGTGCTTCCCAGTGGTGCAGCTGATTTACTTTTACCAGATTCTGTGGGGTATCACAGCTATGCTCCTTTTGCCAAATAGAGGGAGACAGAAGCAACAAAAACATCTGCTAATCTTTGTTGTTGCAAAGCAAGATTTACATAACTAAGTTGTCCTTTTTCTTATATTTAGTATCTCTTGTCTATTGGAATTTTAATTTTTTTAAGGCAAAGCACTCTTAAAACACAATAAAAAAATAACAACAATCTACTTCTTGTCAACCACCAGAAAAGGAAAAAGACAAATCTTAGGCTCTGATTTAATAGGAGAGGGAAGAGGGTTTTTTACATGTCCTGACTCAATCATTCCCTGACAATTTGATTTGTACTACAGCTTTTTAATAAAACTTACATTTTCCTTCTTCATTCCTGCACAGGACCTTGGTATCATCTGTGCTTTCTATAATTTCGAGAGACTCTCCTGGTTTAATTTGCAAGTCTTTAGGTCCCCATCGTTTCTGGGGCAAATCCTGGACTGTGGTGGTAGAGTAAAGAACTTTAATTTCACCTTCAAACTGAAAAAATAAAATAAAGAAATGCTGGTTAAAAACTATTAATGTAAAGCTTATGATCATGCATTTTTTAGAACAAAATATTCCCATTTATTAATACATTTTTGAAAATTAGGCAAATAATTATTTACACTATGTAGTATGTGCCTGTGCTTGCCATTTGGACTTAAAAATGTTCAGATACTATTTTACAAGTAGTAATATTCTACCTTTCAAAGGAAAAATAATGTATAATTTACCAATTAGGGGATACAAATTGGAGGACATCCTGAAGGTATTTTAAACTTTGTTATGAGAACAAAACTTACTTTGAACTTTTTTCTGAACTCTTTCTCTTCTTTTTCCATCTTTTTAAGCTTTTGTGCATCTTTTTCATCTGATTTACGTTTTCCAAGGCCTGCTGATTTTGATGAACTAAAACGAGAGGTTATAGATGAAACAAAAATTAGCAACACATCTGAGGTATTGACAACCTTTCCGATAATTATAGTGGAAATGCATTTGCCTTAATGTGTCTTTTGTATGTTTTTATTGCTCTACAAAACTAATATGGATAATACAAAACAAGTTTGTTTTCAGAAGAAATAAGAAGTTTGGGTTGTCTTTCCTACTTTTCTCTTTTAATGACTTCTGATGTTAATATATCTATCACATATGGAAAATTACTCGAAGTATCTAGCTGCTACAGAAATGAGAACTTTACATCTACCAAAAATAGCTCAGGTGAATAATATCCATCACTTCAGAATCTTTAGGCAAGGAGCAATTTTTGTGAAGTCTATGTATCGTTGGGCAATAGGCTGAATAACCACGTCCCACTGTGGAGGCAGCTGGACCATCTCCACCTTTTGTACAGCAGCTGTGTTAGTCTTATGTCCCCATAGAAGACCTTGGTATACCAGGGAATCTGCACCACATTACCCATTTCAAGTTCTGTTGTTTTTTCCACATCCCTGATACTGTTGACTTGTGCCAATGAGCATGGAAGGGTTTCATGCCCTAACTGCCCTTCCTGCTGCTGTATGTGGGAATTTAAAGTCTGACTCTACTTTTTTATTCTTCCTGATCTCTGTAGGAGTTGTGGATGACGGTTTCACTGATGATGAATGTATGTGTGTCTGTGAACTAACCTAGATTTGGTTAGGAGGGCCACATCTTTTCCTTTGGCTATACTGTTCAAAGAGGTCTCTCTGTTTTAATGCCTCCAGACTAGATTATTGTAGTGCACTCTGTAGCTCCACCTGAGTGGAGTTAGTGACAACAGAATGTGACATGCTGCCGTCATCTTCACAGATGCACGTGTTCATAACAGATCTGTGCTCCAGAGACGGCCATAACTTCCTGGTCCAGGGATGAAAGTTTTCCGAGTTGAACTTTACACCTCCAGCTATGTTTCATACTTGAAAAACAACTGTCTATCTCCTTTTCTCTTAAAGTACTACAGCAGCTGGCATCAAGTACTTAGCCTAACAGTCCCCAAACTTTGATAGGAAGAAGACTGCATGCAGAGAATCTACAGTGAAGTACCTTTACAGCCCACAATCATTTCTACCTCTTGCCCGTCAGGGACAGAATTTGTCGAAATTCAAGACATGCTTATTTATTCTATAGTCTAATTATTATTTCAATCTGAAATGGAGGCAGGAAGCATTCAACTGCCATTGTCAACAGTAGGGTTAGGAGAATCAGAAAACCTGACAACATTAAATAAAGCATACATTAGTATCAATCTGCCTCTAGTAAATACTTTGAAAATGTTTCACAGTGTATTACAGATTTCTAATCAGGGGAGTAATTCCTGTTTTCACTTGCTTGAGTTCAGGCGGTGGAGGAGGGAAGTCTGAAGAATCTACATCATCATAAACATCATTGTCTCCACAATCTGAAACAACAGTGTTAAAAAGAATGGCAAATTATTATGAGATCCCTGAGTACTGAATACATTGTGTTACAAACTATGGTAGTGTAGCTAAGTCAACAAGAAATTGTGGCGAGTACTGTAGCCATTTATCATCTATAGTAACTGTGGGTTCTCTGTTTTGCACAATGGACTGTGCAAAACAAACACCAGCCAACCTTTTCAGAGTAAGACTCTGTATTAATAATAATAGGTATTCACTGATATTTTAATCTTCTTAAGCTGAAGCAAGTTTTAGCACATGTTGGCTAATGCAATAGCCTTTAATCTTCATTTTAATTAGTCCATTTCCCACTGTGTTGCATCAAAGTATATTTTTGGGGTTTGATGTTAATGTACACTCGGGTGCTTCTATAGCACTCTGGTCAATGCCATGTTGCTTAGAAGTGGCTATGAATCACATGTATGTTAGTTTTTAGGCCATCTTGAAATGCCAAAGCAGTGAAAAGAATTCTTACCCCAAGAATATACTTTGAATCGCATTCAGCATATCTGTAGAAAGGAAGCAATTGTTCAACTCATCAAATCAATGGCTAGAAGAATCACAGTAGGCAATAAAAGTTTTAGAACTCAGTTCAGACAACAGCCTCAAAAATTGTAAGAACTTGCTTTTTATTCCATGGCTGAGCTGATATTTACGAATATATGTTACCTTAAAAGACACCGCAAGTGATAAAAGTAATAAGCATCTCTTTCTACTTTTGAAGTCTTGCATTGTGTTTCTTTCCAAGTGTATCTTTTCACACTTAATGTCAAATAAAATGAACTACTGGACATCTTACATAGAAAAATAATGACTTCTTAAAAAAATACATTAAATTGTTTTCTCAAGAGCTTGCGATGTATTTGTATCTCCTTGTCTGTAGCCAAATCAGTCACAGTATTTTAAATTTGTTTGCTGGAACTGGGTAAGCAATGGGAAATCCTGTTTCCTTCCTTGGATGTATTTTTGTGACTGGCATGATACAGAGTAATGTATACAGAAAAAAGGATCAGGAATATATGGAGACTAAACAATAGGCTATTAATTACCTTTTCCAAACTGCTTTGTTGAAGGGGACATGCTGGGGGGGGAAAAAAGATGCTCATTAAGTATTTATATCACATTAATAGGCCTTTGCCTCATTTAAATAATTAAAAAAACTTGCAACACAAGGGATCCAAGTTATCTCCAGGCATTTTGAAGCTCCACTGACACCAGCAATACTCATGGACTAAATGTATTTTTACCACTGAATCAAAGTAAACTGGTTCAGAACCAAATGAGAGAAGGTGGTGGTAAAACCACCAGTTGCTGATCTAACCTCTAGGCAAGATGGGTAGAAGACAATCTTTGCCCTTTTCTGTTTGGCATATTATTCCTAAAATTTAGATTAATGGGACTAGATCTACCAGTTTATCTCAGCAACAATGTACTGATGAACAAGCTACATTTTAACTGAGGATACAGCAAACTTGCATCACCAAAGTGGCACAAAGACGATGGATTATTCCAGTGCTCTTCACCAAAAGAAATTTTCAGTATGTTTTAATTACCCGACTTATGCAGCAAATACAGCTTGTTAAGAGAGTAATTATATTATGCAGGTGAAAAGAAAGGAGGTGAGTATTTTTGCAGAAAAGTATCATCCTGAGCTGCAATTTGATGCATGATTCATCAGGCTGCTGTGAGAACATGTTAGTAGCATGGGATCAATGCTTTATTAGAATTAGTTAATGTGCACTGTGGTTTCCTGGCAGACTCTTACAAATCTCCATTATCTTCTGCCCCATTGTCTTTGGTTGTTTTTGCTCGTACACTTTTCTTTTTGTCATCTTTGACTTTTAGCCTCTTCAAGATTCCCCAGGACCAGATACCATTCTTATCTTCATCCTGCGATACAGACCTTTGGAGTATGCATGCAATTATCATAATGTAAAATGTAACATCCTTTTTAAAAGGTCCAGTTTAAATTCTCCATTGATGCCCATAATTCTCATTAGTGCCGACAACGTATATACCACAAGGTGAGGACACTTACCTATATGCTAAACACTAAAATGCTAAAATAGAAATATGTATGTTAGGTCATTTGTAGATATTGAGATATATTTGTAGGTATAAATATTAATCTAGTGGCTTACTGTTTTCGTGTTGCTACTCAGCATGCTAACATTTTAGTTTATTTTCCTTTCAGAGCCATGCCGACCAGTTGGGGATTTGGGGATTTTCATGATTGCAGCTGCTTTTTGCTGACATACCAAAATTAATTACAGAACAAAACTTGTCCAAAAGACCAAAGAACCCTTGTTTTTAACTTCAGGAATCCATCCTGATGCATACCCACATGCTGATCATCCTAATACTTGCTAATTATTATGGCTAATTCAAAAAAACTAAAAACTGAAATGAAAACACGCCGTTAAAGAAACAATTATTTAAATGATATAAAAACTTACTTAGTTACAGCATCATCGTCGTCAATCCCATCATAAATTTCTTGATCAGAAGGAGGAGGTGGGAACATCTCTTTAACAGATCAAACAATGAATTAATGCTTTTTTATTTAGTTCTGCTGAATAAGGTATTCATTACTGGCCTCTTAAGTACATCAGATGTGTTTGCAGTTTGTGCAATATCCTTGCAAATGGAATCTTTCTGTAAACCAGCACAGCCTATTTATTAAAACAGTGATTTAGACTTATCCCAGTTGGGAATGCCACCCACAGCATTTAAATGTGGCACTGCCAATCACAAGAGGATGAATACTGAAAACAAATGCATTTACACTGTATTTGATGAAATTCTAAATGGCTGATTTTGGCCCAGTTGTTATGACGACTGATGACTTTTAAATTTTTGTGCGTGACTCGAGTGATGATTGAAGATGTCAGAGCAACACTCTCAGCAACTGACATCTTGTATTCATCCACAGAAGCCAGAGGGAAGTGCAATATAAGCTCCCCATTTTGGTCTCAGTTCTGACCTTTGAGTCCCACCTCCTTCAGTGAAGGGTTAGCTCAGTTTCCATGTCCAATTCTAGCCACTGGTCAGATTAATCACTGAAATCTGTACTTAGCTGGCAGCAGCTTCATTCAGCCCTGCCAGGGGATGCTTCTGCCATGACTAGTATCTAAACTCTAAGCTGAGAAGATGAGCTGTGCTCTTGTGATCAACAGAGAATGCTACATAAATATATGTGCTACCAAAGGGGAAACTAGGTTTGAATGTTTGTTCTTGACAGTGTGAAACTGCTGCAGTTGTGCTGGTTAGGACTCCAGAGTATCACTGAGACTGAAGTTCCCCTTAACTCTGTCAGCAAAATGAAGCTTTTGCTGGCAGTATTACTGGGTATTTCAGAACTGGATTTCTCCTGCACAAGACCTCTTGGTCATGTTAATATTTTGCCCATTATATCTGTGCTGTTTTGTGGGAAAAATTACCTTCATACAAAAGAAAATATAAACTTTTGCCATCTTCTGGCATGCTTCTGATTCAGTATCTGAAGGCAAAACTTCTTTCTTGCCCAAGCTCCCATAGGTGGAAAGAAAGTTAATTTGGCCGCTATTCCTACTTGTTTGTTACTTGTTAGCTAACATTTAGCATGCTTATGGATAATTACTGCATTATTTGGGAGCTGCAGAGGTCTGGATTTGAAGGTAAGTAGTACACAGAAACAACTCTCCCCAAAAAGTATATGTAGAACTTACTTCCAGCTCCACTTTGACCACCACTCTGACTGGAAAAGAAAATGAGAGACATTTTAGAGAAAAACAGTCATCCTTTGGAAAAAGAAAACAGCATGATCACCCATCACTTTTGTAGTTACTGGTTCTAAACCTTTTGGCTTTGGCACTCGTCAACATTGGCAGCTGAGCACTACAGATTCTGCACTGGAGGTTCGGGCACATGATTGTGTGTTCTATAAGGGCAATAACTAATTGTGTAAGTTCTTTTTTTCTCTCTGTTTTCACCACAGTTACACCAATTTCTTACAGTCAAATAGTAGCTGCATTCTCAGTAATGCTAAAGAAAATGTGTAATCTAATTCATAAGTGAACTAGCTCTTAGATGAGGAGAGATTAACTTTTAGTAGATTCAGGTAAAGCAGGAGAAAATACTCTGTTGGGTATTTTTCCTTAGAAATAACTAATTCCAAATCAGAAGAGAGTATTTTAAAATATCATTCACAGTAATTCAAAAGGTCATAAGAGAGACAGTTATCAATACCATCTTTACTTAATATAAAAAAAAGGACAGTCTTTTATGCTGTGAAGCAAATTCCCTGTTTGCATAAAGCAATGCAGATATTTCAAGCCAATAGAAGGTGCACATTTTCATATAAGCAGAACATTTGGTCCTAACTGTTAGTAATTGTTAGCAACCATTAGCAATTTCCAATTAGCAATTTGAAGTGTTATTTTCAAGGAAATGCAAACTGATGTCTACAGCTATAATGATTTACTATGTTTAAAATATATTTTATATTCCTCTTGATATCTTTAAACTAAAGTACAAAATATGATATAGGACAATTCATGTTGGAAGGGATATCAGGAGGTCACGTGGTCAAACTTGATGGGAATAAAAATTTAATCTGACTGAACACTAGAGAGTGCCTCCACTTAGATCCTTTAGATCCACCCCTTATGAGGGGATTTTCTTGAGATGGAATGGTAAACAAATGAATTTATTGCTCAACTAGCTTTCATTGGGTGATGCTTTAAACCTCTAGCTGCATGCTTCTAACGTTTCAAGGATTCCATATTAGCCCAGTGTTCTAACAGTAACTGAAAAAAAAAACCTGAAAGGTTCACAGTAGCTGAGATTTTTTCCAGGTCAGAGCCTTACTTAAACTGATACATCAAAACAAGATATTTGTTAACCCCTTGTGCCAAGAAATCCTGAAATACAATGGCCCTAGTCACTTATTAATTTTGGAATATTAACAGTACTACCAATAATGAGATAATACTATTTGTTCAAGAGGCTTTTTTTAGTATGGCATTCTTACAGTGGTTTCAAAACATGTTGATGTATGTCAGACCTTCCAACAATTCATGCTCATGAACTGAACAGAATGCTACTAATCACTAGAGGAGATGAAAATGTCAAAATACAGCTTAAAGGATTTAACGAATCTGAGCCATTCATTCATCCCTCCAAGTTTCTTACACTGTTATTTTAATATGCAACAGCGTAACTATTCTTGTTTGCTTTTGAATTGAATAAATTTTCTAAATTCCTTGCATTGAGGTGGTTAGTTGTAATGCTTGCTGTAGTGAAAAGGATGGGCAAAAGATACTTCTGCAATGAAGTACCAAATGCTCAGATTACCTAAAACCCAGAACAGCTAAAGCAACTCTTCTGGCTGGGTTATGATGCTATGAGACTAATGTGCAGGGTGGGAAACCGATATTGAGCAATCTGGAAAAATATCAGAAGCAAAACTATATTGGTTGCTTAACAAATGCCAGCCTGAAGGCAGATCTTTCCAAGTGCTGTTTCTGGAGCTCATGGGGATGTTCTGATACTCAGCTGCACCCAGCAGCCAGCCAGCTGCGTTCCCTTTATTCCAGCCAGGCCTCTAAGTTAAGGTGCTGGGAAGCAGTAAAATCAGGTGTAACAGCTGAGTGTTTCAAAGTGGTTGTGCTACACATTGAAATTCTCAACGTCCATATGCAGATCTCTTATCTGAATCCCAGGCTATGTGTTTCTGCACATCAGGACATACAATGGAGAACTAACACTGGTTTGTTGTATCACATGACAGAAGCAGACTTTTATGTGAGGTCAGGTAACAGAGGTACCACTGTCATGCTGGATCATGCGATAGCCTTGAGTTTTGTCACAAGATCACTAGGATATTCCCCTGCCAGCAAGTTTTGTATGCTGCTGGAGATGGCACATCTCTAGCTGCAGATCTATTTGATGTGAGAAATATGGGACATAGAAGTGGAGAGTCTGAAATGTAGCACTGCATTGCAAATACATGTGAGACTGTGCCATATGGGAGAAGCTTCTGATGAAGTCAAAAAAGTATAGCTCATACCCATCTCATGGGATTTTATAGGCTTATCTTCGGAACTAAACACATTAGCCACACACTCTTCTGAAGGGCCATCCTAGTCATGCTTCCAGAAGTCCCTTTTCTTCAAAAGGAAAGAGGTAGTAAGACTCATAGTTTGAGAGCAATGAGGGTGATCAGGAGTTTCTCTGTGCCGTATTTCCATTGCTTTTAGAGTCTTTTATTCTTGCACGTTAGAAAAGGCAGTACGTGACTTCAAAAGGCAGAACAAGAAGAGCGAGGGAGGGAAGAGAATTGCATTTCCTGCAGGTCATTTGTAATCCTGCATGTTTTGCATTTTATTCTCTTCCAATAGTATGGATTCCTCCAGGGTATGAGTGCTTATAGATGCCAGATTGCAGAATCCATTCTTGTTCCTCTGACTGCTTCAGTTTGAATAACTCAGTTACATGTTTCTGACACAAATGGCTGTTCTGTTGTGACAAGAGTGTGCTTTGTTGTTGTAAAACTTCCCCTGTCTAAGCTGACTGGGGTGAATCATTGGTTCCTTTCAATGCATTCCTTATACATACCTGCTAATACTGTCCTGCTCTCCAACATCATCATACACTTCTTGGTCACTCTCTGTATGTTTCACAGTAGCTCTGGTAGAAGGTTGTTGCTTTCTTCTTAGAGAATCATAATCAATCTCCACCATGGTTGTTTTAATGTATCCATCTAAATGAATGAGACCATGTAATTAAGCAGTGATAGTTTAAAAACTCTTGATAAAGTAATGAGTTTAACAGAAGGTTCAGAATCAGCACTTGAATTGATTTGTGTGATCTTTGAAAACTTTCAAAAACATGTCTCCTTCCAAGCAGCCTCAGCTTGAGTCTCGATCTGTCTACACAAATACAAATCTCAGAGCTGTCTCAGATCTCCAGTACAAACCCTTCTCAGCTGGTGTCAGGTTAATTTCACCTTTATTTGCTTCTCTGCTACAGCAGAAGAATTTTCTGTACAGACTCCAGGAATCACAGGGCAAGCTCCCTTTCTCAGCTAACCTTGGGACCACTATAGTCTCGTGGCATATGTTAGGGCAGCCCATGACATAAAGATCCTGACAGGCCATTAGGAGGGAGAGACACTTTGTTTGCCCTGATTTTGCTTCAGGTTGATATACACACTGCAGCTGCATTGCCATCCTCTTGTCCCTGGATCTTTGTTAAAAAGGTCTGGTTATACCCCTGGGTGCAATGGCTCAGAGAAACTTGCAGCAGAGCAGTTGGCCTGAGATTGGGAACTCCGGGGAATTTTAGACAGGTGTACTGCCTGTATGGAAGAGAGCATGAATGGATTTTCTCAAAGATGAAAAATGCCCATGCATTTCTTGAAAATGGAAAAATCATCTACTCCGCTGCTTCTGAGTGAACCCAGTATTTAGTGCGCTTCCCCTCAAATCTGTAACACATATTGATTATTTTCTTCTATTTAAATGATCAGAACTGGTTTTTCTCTGTTGTTTGGCCATTACTGGCCAGTGGACATTGAAGGATGAAGCATTGGTGAAACAAATTGTGCTGTACTGTTGACACTTGTCAGTGAGAAGCCTCATACAGCTTGCAGTTTTGCTGAGGCAAGAATTGGTTTATGAAAAGCAAATTAATTAAAGGTAAATTTAATTAATTGACTGCGCATGCTCAACAAAATACTCTTCTTCCAGCCCTCTCACCAAGATTTGTTTTCCTATGTACAAAATGATCCATGCAAAAGTCTTATTTACAAAACTTCAGAGTATCACTCAAAAGCTGATATTGGAACTTACCTCTTGAGATCATCTTGGCCAATCTCCCTGCCCAAGCAGGATCTGCTAGAGTGGGTTGCCCAGGACTGTGTCCCATCAGGTTTTGAAGCTCTCCATGGATGGAGACCACCAGATATTTGGGCAACCTGTTCCCTTGCTTGGTCACCGTCACAGTAAAAGAATGTTTCATGATGTGCAGACAGAATTTAATTTATTTCAGGCTGTTCCTGTTGCCTCCTGCACTGTCACTGGGTACCACTGGAAAGAGCCTGGCTTCATCTTCTTTACACCCTCCCATCAGATACTTACAAAGAATTATTAGATTTGCCTTGAGGCTTCCCCTCACCAGGCTGAACAGTCCCAGCTCTCTCAGCCTCTCTCATATGAGACATGCTCCACTTCCTTAACATCTTTTTACATTTACATTACAGTACGACAAAGTTCTCAGCTGGTATCATCCAGTTCTAGATGTGTGAACTGTCTTACTGAACTTATAATAATTTTAATCTCCTTAAAAATCAAGCAGGTGCTTTTGATAATTTTCATTGATTTTATGGATCAGTCTTTTTAATGTCTTTGCTATAATCCAGAAATCAGATCATCAGCCCCTTATCATACTCATAGATCCACTGATGATATTTAAACAATTAGAGAAAAATCTTGGATTTCAGACAAAATAAATTCTAGAAATCAGTTAGAATTTTCCCATAGGAATAGGAACAAGACAAACACTTAAACCATGACCATATATACTCTGCTTGTTTTAGGAACACCCATGTTATTTTTAACACAAATACATGAAAAAACGCGACCCTTGCGCAGGGCCAAGTTCTGATGCTATTTGAAGGCTGACATGGAATTACCTCTTGACAGGTTCATGAATATCCCAACACATTGTTCCTAACTTATTCTAGTGCCTGCCTGTAGATGTTACATTATGTTGTACAATAACTTCTTACTATGAACTACGCCTTGCATGCCAGCTAAGGACAGGAGTTGTGGTAATTATTTACTTTGGTGGGCAGTGACTCAGCCTTGGTAAGGCTACTCCTTGGTGTAACGCTTACATGTTTGCTGTCATACAGTGAAAATATTCAGGAGCACAGTGAAGAAAAAGAACTCACAACATCCTTTTATCCTGCCCAGCCACTTTCCTTCGGGGTTGTCTGTGAGGCGAATGATTTCAATCTCATCCCCCTGTTTGACAGTCAGCTCATTCTTCCCTCCCTTGTGGTCAACACAAGCTCGAGCCTGATGAAGGACTTGGATAGGTCCTGTTAACTGCAGTGAAGAAGCAACAAAAGAAATCACAAGTGTGGAAAAATTGAGTTCTTCCCCAAACATTCAGACAGAAGAGAAAATAACTGTAATGATTATTCATTTCATTTACATTTAAAATAGTCTAGGCAAAAAAACAGAAAGGCATCACTCCTGTCTCCAACGACCCAGTTTACATTAATAATCAAGAATGAAAAGAGAGGGCAACAGCATAGCAGTAGAGCAGCTGACTGGCAAAATCACAGAAATACAAAGACTAAAACCAACAGGCTAACCTATGGAGCTTTTCACACATTCACAAAACAGACAGGTATTTAGTTCCAGTGGGCAGCTACATGCTGTTCCAGCAGAACTACTCATATGAGTAAATGTTCATTAACAAACAAGTCTACCACATAATGTTCTATGTTTACAATTCTGCTCTATAAATAGTCCTACAAGTACTCACACTGTTTACTGGAATTCAGGATTCTCTTTGTGAGATTTTTAGTATATGTTATAGAGAAACTACTTTGGATTTTAACATCTGTGGCTTTAAGGTGTATGTGATCAGAGGCATGTGGTTGTTGACAATTACAGACTAGCTCAGGAATATCTATCCTGTATAGGTGGCGAAGAAATGCAGTAAAATATATTTGTTTGCATTTGAGAATTATAACATTAATGGCCGCAAGAGAGCAGTCTGCAGTCTGAAAGCATTCAGTGCACTAATGCTTACACTTCACAGGAGCGGTCTGAAAAATAGACTTGGGGCTTGACAAATGCAAGCTAACCCACTAGTATTGATGATTAGTATTTTCCTTTAATATTTGCTCCTCAACTCATGTCAGTCTCTCCACAGCAGACAAAGGCCATGATATGAGAGAGTCACCATGGCTTTACTGTGTACAGAGCATAATAGGAAGAAAAAGAAAGCTGCCCTCTATGTACAGTGAGGCTGAAAGAAGCACAGTGGAGCATTGTGAATAGGCATTAGTTAACAGAAAATGACTGGCAGATTTGTAAACTGTGATAGCATGCTGACTGCTAGCTATATAAAAACGATACAAATCAGAAAGAACTGTCTCATCATTTAGCCCCTAGGCTTTGACAGTGACTGTAGCTCCTCTGCACGTGCGCTATTCCCTTCCTCCCCATTTAGGCTGGAGGTCCCTTCAGGTCTCTTTAGACCAAGGCAAGGGCAATGTGTTGCAATGAAATCTGTTAAGGGCTGGATACTGTTGTAACCGGCTCCATTGAAGCAAAGACCACTAAGTATACGGGATCCAATTCCCACTTTTATTAAGGACTTTTGATACTATTATAGCGATGTAAATGCTTTTTAAACAGAAAAGTGAGAAGAAATGTTTTTAAGGCTTTTTTGCATAGGAAGAATATGAGAAGGGAATTTATCAAAAACTATATAAGCACTGAAGAAATGTTTTTGCCTTCAGTACAAGAGCCCGAAGTCAAGCGTATGCCAGACATAAAAGGGTAGCTTAAACCTTTATTCAGAATTTATCCAGGTGCTTGAACTACCTACCATAACAAGTAGTTTTGTGGCCAGCTGAAAAGTATTTTGAACTCAAGAATGCTAAATAATGCTTTTTACATGTCTTTGGCCAGATTACAAAACAAAAATCATACTTTGAACTTCTTCCTTATTTCCTGCTCTTTCTTTTCTTTTTCCTTTTGTTCTTTCTTCTCTTGGTCCATTCTTTTCTTTTCTTCCTTGTCCCGCTTCTTCTCTTTTCCCCTCGGTGATCTGAAAATGTATTGCCAGGACTGAATGTATCAGTGAAACAAATCTCACTAGACCTTTCTTACCCAAGGCTGACAAAGAACTACATGTCATGGAAAAAGACTTCTCCCAGTGAAATCAAAGCTACAGATTCTAAGCCCTAGTGTGGCTGCAACAGATAGAGTAAGCAGCCCTTTCTCTTATACTACATATATAATTTAAAGTGGCTGTCCTCAAGAAAAGGTTTTCTGGAGGTAAGAGACTGTCTCTGCATGTGCATGTCCAAACACCTCTGAGCAAATTTTGGCAAGTGAGGTTGGAAACTGGTAGCAGTCTAGGTGTTGTGGCACTGGCTGCAGCTTTTAATATTTACCCAGGCCATCAGTGGTTGATGCAGCCTGAACTGAAGCCTGAGATACCACTGGACTGCTGTTTTAAACCTAATTACAACCTATTCCAGCTGTCTACACAAAATGACAGTCAGCCTGCTGCACTGCATCACAAATGTGCCTGTCATGCCAGGGTGCCTTGCCTGCTGTGCCTCATGTACTGGATGGTACTGAGCTCTGGGCCCTGGGACGTAGTTAAGACTACAGCTACAGCTGTGCTGTTCGCTGCCAATGGTTTGGCTGGAAGAGCCATGCTTTATAAACCCTATGGAACTGATTGAGTGAGGCTCCCTCCTCTTCCTTTTTTGGTACTTTTGCTAGACACAATTATATTGCTCAAATTATATTAAAAAAAAAAAAAGTCTGAATGAGGATCACTTGTTTTGGTTATATAGTTTTAGAATTATCTATTTTCAAAGGGAATTCAAGAATAAATTTTTGCTGAAAGTCATTCTACATCTGAAACAAGGCATTTTTATGTAGGAACTTCAGACTGCTACTTATTCCAAAGGAATTAGAGCTTTTCTTTGGCTATTGTCCCACAGGGAATCCCATACAAGGGCAAGAGACTCCTTAAAGTGAAGAGTTAAATGGCAGAAGAATGACCAGAGCTCATGTTCTGGCTCTGTAGCTATGCTAGGGGACTCAGGCCATGAGAACTATAAATTCAGCCTCTCATAGGAGTTCTAAGTACGTTTATGCAGAAAGCAAGAAAAACAACCACAACAAAAGATCTATCTGGGACCATAGTACCTAGGGGCTGAGTTTATTTTTCCTCCTAGGCTGTAATTCCAAACAATGATTCAGACACGTTCCTTAGATCAGAAATCAGACTTCTGTTATCTAGATCACAGTAACCACATGGTTTTAGTTGCAGGAGTTTCTCCAGCCCAGGACATAGCAGATCTGGGTAGGAAAGAACCTGTGAACAACCTGACTTCCTCTAGGTGAAATGAATGAAAACAAGAATGCCTGGCAGGGTACTGCAGTGGAATCACACTTTTGTGCCAGATGAAATATCTTCTTTAGAAAACTTTTAGTAATAAAGATACAATAGACTATAGAGTTTAAAATTGCTACCTGATGTCATTAATGTCCTCATACATCTCTCCATCACTTTCTTGGCCCTATAAGAAAAAATCAGTTTTCAATGGCCTAGTTACATTTGGAAAGACACGAAGAAAATGGACCTGCTATGTAAGCTTCATACAAACTATATAACAATATTTACAGAAAAATGTAAATAGGAATTAATTTAATCTTCCGAAACCAAGTTACTACATTATTCAAACCCACTGTTCTTTTTTTCTTTGTTTTTACGATACCACAACTACAAAGTTCTGGATTGTTACAATCACACTAGCACATTGCTTAATCCAGAGTGGATGTTCTAATTGCAGTGTTAATCCTGGAAGGCCTTTATCTGTGTTGATGATTGCACTGCCATGATGAAGGCTCCAAGGTTAGCAGTGGTTAAACTGGAACACTAAGCATGGGACTCAGGTTAGGGTGCCAGAGACTGTTTTAGTCCTAATACAGCCAGGTGCTTAAAGACATGACACAAACCTGTGCTTAACTGAAACAAGTGGTTTATTACTAGAATAGAGCAAGGCCCTTGTTTCTGGAAAATTTCAGTGAAATGAAATGTCAGTGCAAATAGAAGGGGTGGTTTTGTTTTTTTTAAAATCAATCTTTGGTGTCTAGCCAGCTTTGATAATTAGTTCCAGTTTGCTCTGCTTACCCGGTTTTATTTCTATCCTTCACAAAAAGTAACTGCCTCTACAATTCACTGTCAATATAGTGGATTCATTCTGCAATTAATTATCTAATACGTTGAAGGGATTTTACTAAATTTGAAAATTTGTGCTAAAAATGATACATTCATCATAGAGGATACCACTTACCCCCTCTGTATTTCCATGACCTATGTAACAAAAAATAAAAACAGGGTATTTATTTTTTGTTCTACAGAAAACAATTCATTCTGGCATTAACTACTTACAAATTATTACTAATACCAGTGATATTAACTAGAAATATGTGCAGGCTCCTGGATTTTAATAATGGTATGAATGCAAAAATCAGAGTTTTTGTAGTACAGTGTAAACTAGAAATATCTACAGAATTGAGTATTCCAGCATACGTTTTTACAAGTGAAAAATTCATTTTAAAGATTCTTTTGTGACATTGATGAACTTATCTGTGCTATTTGTTTACAAAAATACCTATTTGTACAGGACAGTCATTGTTAAAAACATAGTAAATCCAAACAGACCTCAAAGAACTTGCTCACACCAGCCCAGCAGCTGAAGAAGGAGGCCAAAGGCTCTTTTGCTAAGCCAGCCTCTACTTTGGGCTGCAGGAGAAGAAACTCTGTGGATCTCCCACTTCCTCCTTACTCTGCAGGTAGTTAGGTAGGAAAAGAGTTTGGGCTCAGTTTCAGCTCCACAGCCCACATTGCTGTACGCAGGGATGGCTAGCACACCAAGTGATGCATACTGTGCCTGGCACAGACCAAGGCCTCTCAAGGAGAGATCAGAAGGCAGATTGAAATTCTTTGTGTCACAATTTGCTTCTCTGGCTGTTCCTGGTACAACATAGCAACTCACTGCCTCTTACTGAAGGCAGACCACAAAGAGACATTAAAAGCACAGTCAGTGAACAATTACTATGTTTTTTAATCAAGTGTAAAACAATGCCTGCTTCACTGGTCCACACAACTTCAACTCTGAAGAAGCAGCATTTATATTGGTTCAGATTTGAAAATCTGGTAATTTACAGTCCCAGCCTACTTCTAACCAAAAGAATATAATTGCATACAAATACATTAACTAATATATATATAATTATAACTATGTTAATTATAGAACAGTTAGTGTTATGAGACAACCACCTTCACCCATAAAACTATAGAACCAACATACCAGTCACCCCTGAATACAATATGCTTTGGCTTATCTGATAAATGCAATATGCTTACATCTTCATATAGCTGCCATTAATTAAAATGCATGAATCTTACCCTGTGAAACAAATTCTACATCATCATAATTTTCTTCATTGTCTGGACTTCTGTAAAATGAAAAACAGACATGTGAAACCTATGAAGATGGTTTTGTGATTGCATTTTCATTCACCGTTGTTCTGGTGCTTTTTTCAGCTATTTTATACAATGGCTGGGCAGTCTGTTGAGCCCTATATGCTACTTAAGTACCCACAAGATTCCCTGAATTGTTCTTCCAGACTTTGACTCAGTTTTTCACATGGGGACACCTTGATCCTGAGTATAAAAGGAGAAAATGAGCCAAAGGTGCTTAGATAACATGGAGATGCATGTTGTATGAGAAATATAATAGGCAGATGGGCTGACCGCATGGAAAGAATCTGTTGGGCTTTTTAACCATCTTTGCAGGTGCAGGCTTCTTACACAATGCACAAGCAGAATGCCAGGCTTTTGCACAAGGTTAAATATAGCTCTAAGACTTGCTCCTTGACTAGAGCTTAAAGTCGAAACAAAGGACAAAAGAAACTGTGGTGTAAGGTTAGGCCAGGTAAAAGGTCTCTGATGTTAGATATAAAAGTGCTGTCAAACTGAGAGAAGCAAGAATTTGAGAATGTAACTAATAATAACATCAGGGACTTTTAACTTTGTAATACCTTATAGTAGTTGAAATAAAACAAGGGCTGACAGTCATCATCAAAGAGGTGCAATCAAAGAAAGGACTGGAAAGCAGAAAATTATCTTTTAAAATTGGCTTGATGGAGCAAGCATTGAGACAGGGTGAAAGAAAACATGTCAGCACCCAGGCATGCATTTTCAGCAGAGGGGATTGTCCAGAGCGCATGCAGGAATGGGAGAGCATAAGGACAATCTGGAGGTAAATATCTTGGGTCCCTGAAGGCAAAGAGGACACATGTGGCTCCCAAGCATTTGGCAAGGATGGTATACAGGAGGGTGTCCTAGATGGGGTGGTGGTGGCAGCTTCTGGGGTGTCCCAGCAGGGCTGGGGGGCCGTTTCCCGCAGCCCTGAGCACAGCAGCAGTGCTGAACTGATGTTGTCACATCATCTGTACCAAAATACAGTATGCGTGCTGACACACACCTCTCCAATGCCTAATATATTATCCCTGTCGGCCGTTTTCTGCTATTTGCAGTAACTGCTGGCCAGAGAACAGCTCGTTATTCAGGCTTGGCTTGTTTTCGGTTAGTTTTGACACTAGACTGAAGTGCTTTTAACTCCTTGTCGCTGGGAGGTTCTCCTTTTGCATGTAGCTCTTCAAAGAAGGATAAAGAAAGGAGCCCCACATGCAACACCGAGGCTTCTCGGTGTTACCACAACAGGACACGACGCAGCTCCTGGTGCAGTTTCACAATCAGCACCGAGCTCAGTACCTCCAGCTTGCAAAGCTGCTTCCTGGGGTACCAGGGTCGGGGTACTGACTGATAGACCTGACCCTCCTGGCCCGCATCCTCCAGAAAAATGGAGGGGAAAGCTTCAGTTACTGATATAACTGATTTGCTACCAGTGTATGAAGTCTTTGAACACTTCTGGATTAAAAAACCCAGCAGGTCTCTTCCCTCCCCCCTCCCCTTGCCAACAGGGCAGAAAAAAGTGTTTTTATAGATAGACAATATAGGGAAACAAATGAATAGATGGAGGGTTCAAGCTAATAAAAACTAATTGCGAACAGGCCAGGGACAGGGTAGAACATGGAGAGTGGTGTGGGATGTCTCCCCCAGAAACCTGGGACTCCTGCAGCCTTAATCTGCTACTGCATGAGCAAAGAAATAGGCAGAAAAAGGTGAGAAAATAAAAGCCTTGGGGTTTATGCTCACTTACATTGTTTCAGAGCTGGGCTTGATATTTCTGGGAGGCAGGCTGGGAGCTGCTGGGGCCTGCAGGGATGGGTGAGAGGCTGGTGGAGGAGGTGGCAACTGCGTACCAGAGTGTGGTTGAAGTATAGGTGGGGAGACCGCTGCCGAGGAAGGTGGTGTCTGTTTTGAGCCTTCATTTTTAAGGCCTGAAAAAAAGCAGAACAGACTGAATTTATCGAGCAAACAGCTGAGGAAGGAACCTCGCTGTTTACAGGAAATACTAGGATAAAATATCAGTACTGTACACACCCCAGAGCAAATATATTTTGTTGAACCTGCTTCTTAGACATATTTGGTGCCTTACCTTACCAGAGTAGAGAGGGTTTACCTAGAAGAACATACTACAGAAGGCCTTGAAAATGTCTTTGCCAAGATATGAGCAAGACACAAAAACATCAGTTCATCCAGTATATAAGCTCTTGTGCTTTAAAACTAAATTATCACTTAATTCTACAACTTGCTTAAAAAAGACCAGCTGCAGAGTTTCACGTGAGCACTGATGCAATCTTGCTGGAGTTTTCCTTGCTCAGAGAAAGAGTTTAAAGGGAAGGGACGAGAGATGAGAAGATGTTTTGGCATTGATTAAGAGGTGTACACGTCTCTAGGTTTTGAAAGGCTGGACTTAATTTTCTAACAAGCCCATACTAGAAAAATGGCAGTTTAAGAAGCTGCACAGAAGGCACAACCTTAAAAACAAAGTGATGCGGTGCACCAGGCACAGAAGCCATCACTCACAGCTGGGCTCGTGTGCATGTGTGCTGCACTGAATTCATGCTCCGTGTACGTGCCACAGCTTTGAGAGTTCACATTGAGAGAAGTTATTCCAAATGAAATCACTGGTTGGATGCCATGATGTCAAACCTAGAATTTTATTTCAAGTATCTTCAGTGGATTGAAAGCTACCCGGAAAGAATTGTCGCCAGGTGTATGGAGGGAAGTCCAACAAAACTTAAGGAAGAGGAGAGCAGAAGGAAAAAACAAATTCACTGTTCAGTTAAAATCAGTTACAATTGAGAAGAATCCACTTGTCTTCTGGACATTTTCTTCAAGTTCACAGCTGTAGAGTGGAGATTAAAATCTTACCAAGAAACATAAACTTCCACCATGTTGAAAAAAAGTGGCTTAAACTCAGAACAACAGCATATATTTAGTAATGCATTATATCGACTGAAAGTTATAAAAAATACCTAAAGGGCTTTCTTGAGCTGCTTGTGAGTCTGAAATTCTGTCTTGTAGATAGACGGGAGAAGGGGAATTGGTAACTATTAGAATGTGGGAATGGAATCAAAGTGACATTACCAAGCATTGACAGTTTTTCTGCTTACTAATGAAGAACTCAAAAATTTCTGGATAAATTTGGTTTCATGGCTGCTTGGATCAACTTGTTAACATATGTGTCGAAAACAGTGCATTTGAAACCTGTTAAGTTCCTCCATTACTTAAACAGCAAAGTACTGAAAGTCCTAACACTGCTGATTACACAGGTGAATTCTTCGGTGTTTTTGTTAAGGAACATTCATCTTGCAAAGGCAGACCCTTACAATTTAAGATATGCCAAGATTCAAGTTGTACAGTAACACCTATCTTTTTATTCATGTCTTTTTCTCATTTTATTCAGAAGTATAGCCCAAAAGTCAAGTGAAAGAATCTTTTCACTTACTACTGAGGAGGCTACAGCAGGATTAATGTGTGCCAGGTGGAGAGAGCCAAAAGGAGAAGAGTGAGAATGATTAGAGGTCTAGAAAACATGAATTCCTGGAGATACTGAACAAATGGTAGTTGTTTAGGGAAATATGATAAGACTGAGGGAGAACAATATGAATACTTAAGTCTCTGGCAAAGAAGAAAGGGGTATTCTTTTTTCTTCATTTCCATGGTGGAGAAGGCAAGCAGTAACGTGTTTAAAGGCCAGCAACATTTGTTAGGACGCCCTTTCTAAAAGGTGGAATTTCCATGGCTTGAGATCCATGTTGAAGAAGTAGGATAAACTTCTGGCACAAATAAGTTCTGATACAGTTGTTCTTACCCCACACATCAGGATGGACCAAACAACTTCTTTACATCCCTTCCAACTCAATGATGACATCCTCTGTTTGTTTTCCTATGTTTTAAAAGACATCACATTTAAAATACTTGGCCCTGTGTTGAGGCCAACAGCTAGAGATCTACTAAAATATCATTTTGGCTACAACTTGTCTTCCAGAAAGATGTTCCACTGGTTTGAAGATGAGAGGAAGAATGTACCACTACAAAGTTTGTTTGGTTAATTTTGCTCACTGTTAAAATCTGCATCTTGATGTTTTCTAATGTCATCAGGCTTCAGGTTCTATTTCTTTTATTTCTACCTTTCTATAACCACTGTTTTCTACCCATAAGGTATTGATACCCATATCTCAGATTTCTTTTTGCTAACTCTAAAGACCCAACCTTTTTAATCTCAAGGCATTTTTTTTTCTGTCTAGCAATTAATTTTTATCTATTTCTGTCATCTCTCCAGTTTTTCCAGTATTGTAAAAAATCTGGCACTGGAATTCTACACAGCATGTACTTGTCTGCCACATGCAGTGATGAAAATTACAAGTTGTTCTTCAGCTGGCCATATCTCTACTGATTGCATCCAGGAGGTTTCAGTATTTTCTCTGATTGTCATCCCTCCTCCTGTTTTGGAAGTGCAAACACCTGAATATCAAAATAAGGCCCATTAACAAAAAGCATGGATTCAAAAACTTTGTACCTATATGAAGATTCCTTAAGGGTAAAACTCCAAGAATTTAGGGTTACAGGCTGACAACTGTCATGCATTAGACTCTTCCGTAACATCATTGTCCTTACTCAACTGTAGAGTTGTTTATGATGTCTAGATCGTTTATGTTGTCAAGGCATGACATGACCTCGTTTCCCAGGTATGGTTTACATTTCTTCATTCTGTGCATATATTTGCATTTGAGTAAAGACAAACTTTGTTTAAATGAGTGAAGATTACACATGATTGTGCTCTTATTGTATCTGAGTCTCTGAGGACTGTGTGTTCGCATTTAACTCTTCACAGTCTTTATTCATCCACAGACATTGTCAACTATAATCTCTTATTGTTCTGAAATCCCTGATAAAGATGAATAGCACTGATAATCTAAGCATGTATCTGAAGTTGAATTCTTTTAAGCAGATTCTAACGAAATAAATAAGCCAGAAGGGTGGTTTTGGTTTTGGTTTTTTTTTTCACAAAAGCCATATTAATTGGTATTAATTATACTCTCAAATTTTTGTGTTTTAACAGGTAAACCTATATCAGTTTTTCCGTGGTTATAGTTATGTTGCCCTAATACAGTAGTATGTATATGCAGAACATGCATACATGAATTATGTCATCATATAGTGTTACTTCATTGTGATTAGTTTGTAGGATTAAGGTAAAAATTCTTCAGAAGTCTCTGTGCATAATACTTCTTTCATCTGAAGTCTCTTGAGAGCCAAATCCAGGCAATAGGAAGCTGAGCCAGGAAAGGACACCGCATGCAATTTAGATTAAGTGCTTATTTTTAAGTACAAGGGCTGAACAACCTGTCCCTTTTAATTTATGTGCATTGCTGGAATCTAACAATAAGTAAATGATCATCATGTTAAAGGAAACACTGCTTTTTTATTTTCTAGCTATTAGAACTGACTCTTACCTGCCTTTAGAGTCGTAGTTACCTACAGTTATACTGACTGAGGCTGATGTGGGTGTAAACCGCTTTAATTCTAATACTGAATATAATGAGAGGAGTTAGGTAGGGAGCTGACATTCAGTATGAAAAAGCTGCTATAATCTGGCCTGATAGCTAAAGCTATCATAATGTTTTGTTTTCTATTTTAATGGAGAATTTCATTTTGACTCCAGTTCCATCTTTTTGTGTCTCTGAGAACACAGAGTTCCTCTGGTAGTGGAACTGCAGTCAGCTCTGAACACTGAGAACAAGAAATAAAATCAAAACTGTATCCTGGCTTCACAAGCACACAAAGCACTCTCATAAAAGGAAACAGTGTTAAGGAAAATGACTGTGTGGTAGCTTTGTCCACTAGCACCTCAGTTTCCAAATAGCTTTTTCTCTCTTCTTGTGACTCTCAGCTTTTTCACGTGCTGTGCCACACTGAAGAAACAGATGCAGAAACTGAAGCTCTTCACAAAGAAATGAAAGAACAGATGAAAGTGAATGAGTTCCTCAAAACCTATGCAGCTGTATAGCAGCTGAAAGAAACTTGCCATAGAAACTGTCCGTAGAAAGTACCAAATATCCCATTACACTGCTGCTTGTGGTATTAAACTTCTTCAATCATGCCCAGAGCTTCAACACTTACAGCAGAACTGCACAGAGAACACTGCAAACACTTGTGTTCTTGGGGAACTTGCTCAAACTACTTCCATACGTGCAACGAGCAAAAGGTCACTTCCATTCTTGGAGAATGTTTATTTATCAGGAAGCTCAGGACACTGAAGTTGTCTTGATGTAAAACTTGTGACTTTGACACTTGCCATTCCTGGCTTGTGAAAGGGAAATACTGATACCTCTGGCAGCTAACACAACATTTAGAGAAAGATCCCATCTTCCCTTCATGTGCAGATATTCTGTGTTCAGCAACCTCAGGAGAAATCAACTTGCATATAACAGTACTCTGTAATTTCCATGCCTCTCCTGTGTGAATTTAAAGAGAAACTAGTAAAAAGCCCAAAATAAGTCCAGCTTTTTGGAACCCATATACTCTATGTAGTCAAAAGCAAATGTCAGGGCAGGATGAGGAAAAAATATCCATTCTCACCTTGGTAAAATCTTCAGGGCTGTCCTGAGATGCTGTATTGCTCTGTCCCAAGATGCTAATACCAGAAATATGTGGCAAACAGAAGGGAAATCCCAGCAGTGCCTGGAATCCTTACTGGAGTAACACATGCAACGAGTAGTACTTGGTGGGATAGGAATCTTATGGGAACCAGTACTTAGGCCATGGCCAGTTCTCCCCAGTCCTTTTCAAAATCATAAAATAAATTGGACTCATATGCAAGGGTGATACGGGCTCCAGTACTGACAAAGCCAAAATTGTCTCTATTTATCCTCTCCCTAAATACCAGGGTGTCTCGCTGCTTGGATAAGAGACTGGCACATAGATGAAA